AAGTGTTGCGTTTATAATTTTGTTCAGTGTATATATATATATATAGTGCTCATGTCAGGCTTGTGTTGTGTTTTGCTGTTCTTAAATGGTTCAGATTTGGAAATTGAGGAAGTAAAGAAACTTCCCAAGCCTCGTCATCCAACTCCCGCAGGAACGCGCCGCGTCTCTCCAGCTCACCCCAGGCCGAGAACCTCCACATACCTCTCCAACGGCTCCTACCGCCTGCCTAACCCCAAATTCCCCGCTGTCCTCCAAAGCTCCACCGTGGTCCTCAGCCCAGGAGCGCCGGCCGCTCGGAAGTCAAGACGGCCGGCCTCTAAACAGATAAGCTCGCCGGCCGCGCCGTTGTCAAGCCCACGGCCGCTTGGAAGTCAAGACGGCCAGCCTCTCAAAAGATAGGCCTGCCAGCCGCGCCGTTGTCAAGCCCGCCGGCCGCTGCGAAGTCAAGCCCGCCAGCCGCGGCTCTCTCAATCCTGCCGGCCACCATTGACGCAAGCCCACCAGTCACTGCAACGTCAAGCCCACTGGCTACCCAGTTCCCCCGTAACCAAAGGAGGAGGATGAAGAGGAAAGGACTGTTCTCTGCCTTAATCCTAGCCCCAGAGCTCACTCCAGTGTCGGCTCCAGCCCCGGAGCTCGCTCCAGTGCCAGCTCCTCGAAAGCGCCATGCTGTGCCTGCTCCTCCAGAGCGCCCTCCAGTGTCAGCTCCTCATAAGCGCTTCCCAGTTCCCCCGTCGAGCCCAGGGAGGGCTCCAGATCCTCAAGTCCTGATTATGTTGATTTATTCCAGGTGTTCCCCGTTTATTTCCATTGATCCCAGGTGTGTCTCGTCATCCCATCCCAGGTGTGTCTCGTTTCACAAAACAGATGTCCCCAAAAGGAGGATTTGTCAGATTTAGCTCACTTCTGGGTACAAATGTGTCCCCAAAATATGGTTAAGTTGGTACTTTAAATTAATTATTTAAATGTGAAACTCTCTTAACAAGTGTTTAATTGTTAATTTGAAATGTGGAATTATACAGTTCTGCTCGTAAGTGTACATAACCCTTGCAGACTTGACATGATGTTAATAATTTTTACAAAATAAGAGCGATCATAAAAATCGCATGTTATTTCTTATTTAGTATTTTCCTGAATAAGCTGTTTCACATAACAAATGCTTAAATATAAATAACTGAATTTGCACAAATTAACCAGTTCAGAAGCTTGAATCTTTTACTATGTGTTGTTACAATAAAAGAGCTGTTTTTATGTTTTGTGATATTTGCTCATAAGTTAGGCTATTTGTTTGTCCTAAGCAGACAAACTGTCCACTGTTCTTCAGGGGTTGAGATTTTTTTTCCTTTTGGTAACTTATACACAACTATTACAAAGGCTGAAAACAATCACTGATGCTCAAGAAGGAAACAATGCATTACAAGTCGAGGGGTGTAAACCTTTTGAATTGGATATGGGTACTTATTTTGTCTTCTGGGACAATATCTTACATAGCTTCTAAAGGGCGATACTTAAAAAAAAAATTGTCCTGTTCAAAAGTTTACACAAGCTCTAAATTTGTTGTGTTTCCTTCTTGAGCATTAGTGAAAGTTTTCACCTTCTATATGATCTATCAGTTGTCCATCAGTTGTCTCATAATCTCACAATCACACAATTCTGGGCAGAATTGTCCAGAACTGGATCTCATAATCACACAATTCAACAAATGTGCAGAAAATGTTATAAAATCAAAGAATGTAAAACCAAAGATGCACTTACGTTTTGCAAATCCACACTCCTACAAATAAAGGTGCTTCACGATGCCATAGAAGAACCTTTTTGTCTAAATGGTTCTATAAAGAACCTTTAAAATCTGAAGAACCTTTCTGTTTCACAAAAGGTTCGTGGAGAAAGAAGGTTCTTCAGATTATAAAAAGGTGAGAAAGAGATAGTTCTTTAAAGAACCTTTGACTGAATGGTTCTTTGTGGAACCAAAAATGGTTCTTCTATGGCACCGCTGTGGAGAACCTTTTAAGCACCTTTATTTTTAAGAGTGCACTTATAAATACAAATAAATCAAGTGCAAAGGTAGTTGCATTTTCACCCTCCAATCAGAGCCTGTTTAAATTCTCCTGAAAACCCATCCATAATCCTCAATTTCCTGATTCCTGAACACTAATATTTTTACAGGCTAGATTAGCGTTTCTCAACGGGGGCGTTCGGAGAGCATCGGGGGGCGCTGGAAGCAATATTTTTGAAAGGGGAGCGCTGAGGTGTTCTTGAGGGGCGTTTGGTTAAAGCGAGTTTACACCAAAGATGTATGAGCTGAGACTTGCAAACGAAAATGGTCTGGCACATCCTAACGCAGTCTCTACATTGGATGCATCAAAGCGCACATTCTATATCCGTTTGTCAACTTGTCGGTAGCGCAAGCGAGTGGAGCGCGGCAGGCAGAGAACGCGACATCCGTTTATGTAGCGCTCGCGCTCAGATACTGAACCACTGATTATAATCAGGATCTGTGTGCTTTGACGCAACGTGTCGCGACGTTCGCGCCCGGTGTAGTAGTGTTAGTTAGGGTAAGCCGCTAGTTTACACGAATACTACCGCTTCTAAACTATCATTTCCATAGCTTTCTGTAACGCAGCTGCCAGACTTCCAATGAAAACAATAGCAAACATTTAGACACGTTAAAGCACAATATGCTTTTTCTTGTTTAGAAAAATGTATATGAATGATTTTTGTTTGCTGTTTGGCTGCGGTTGGTTTGAATGCCAAATTTCAAGAGTTTATTCAACGCTCATAAATATAGCCTAATTTATATTCACGTGGCTTTTTTTGCTCCTTGGCAAAGTAATGATAATGGTATTTAAAGTCCAGTCAAATATGTCATGAATGTCATGTGGCATTCAATTACATATTTTTAAAATTATTTATGGGCTACTGTGGGCTGTAATAGTTGGGTTAAAATACATGCTATTAAAAAAGGTTCATATTACAAATAAAATATAGCCTATAATATACACTACCATTCCAAAAAAAAAGGTCAGTAAGATTTTTTAAATTGTTTTGAAACAAATCTCTTCTGCTCAGTAAGGTTGCATTTATTTTATCAAAAAAAAAAAATGCAAACAGTAGGCTACATCTACAATTTGAAAGAACTGCTTTCTTTTTTTCCCTTTTCTTTCTGTTTTCCTCTCATACTAAAGCGCCATTACTCCAGCTTTCAGTGTCACATGATCCTTCAGAAATCATGCTGATTGCTGTTCAAAAACATTTCTTCTTATTATAGTTGGCACACCACACTGACAAAAAAGCAAGATTTTAAATTTAATGGACTAACGAAGATATGAATCAGGACAGCACTAAAATAGTTTTGAAAATGAGGAGCATATGTTTCCCATCTTATTACTTAGTTTTCTTTTAAGCATTTGTAAGCAAACTTTGAAATATTCTCACAAAATCATGAAATATAGTAAAGGAGGGTTTATATTTCTTCAATATGCATGTATAAATGTGGTATTTACATACCAAAATTACCATGTCAACTATGTCAGAATCGCAGGACAATGTTGACAATTTTCTGCACTCCTGAATGTTTCTATGTGCATGCAATCTGTACGTTATGTACGAGCTTGTGTGTTGTGTGCGTGCGTGCAGTGTAGCAGCACATTAGTTTAGAGTGGAGATTAGCTACCTGTACAATCAACTCAACACGTCGCTCCACTCTGCTCACTCTGCCAGGAACGGAAGAACAAACTAAAATCTCTTCTGTAAAAATGCCCCTGTGGATATATTCTAAACAGGAATTTTTATCAAGTCTTTTTAAATTTGGGGCAAATACATCACCATATATTTAGCAATGAAAATCACCAACATGCTTAAAAACTCTGTAAATAACTCTGTTATTCCACTTATTTTCAAATAATCTATTTTAAAAATGTATTACACTGTCAATTCATTTTTTTCATCAATTTAATGGATCCTTGAATTAAAGTAATTTCTTTAAAAAAAAGTAATGGCCCAATAAATTTTAATGCTACTGTAAATATAATACCAGTCCTCATTATAAACACAAAATAATAATCAACTTCAATAGTCTGTGAAGATTTTTTAGAAGAATTTTTATTTGATGTGAGGTACCTGAATAATGGGTAGGGGAGCGCTGGCCCAAAAACGGTTGAGAACCACTGGGCTAGATCATCCTGCCTAGGATGTTGTGATAGTCCCCAGAGGCATGGTCAGTGCTAGCTTTTGCACCACACATGCCTCGAATTCTGCCCAGAACTCTTTATCTCGGTCTTTCTGAGCACAAAACATTTTCACACATCTAGATCAGCCTCTCTCACACCTCCCACCAAACTGCAGACGTGCTTTAAGACGGGACTTTTTGAGGTGATGTTTTTCCCTCCACTCAATACAGGTCAGTTTCTACAGAACTCTTGACATAAGTAATGTTTAATCCACTCCAGTCAGCTCTTTCAGCCAGCCTTCGCTCTCTATATTACTCTTTTATTGATCCTCCCATGTTCACTACAAACACTTTGACCCATTTTCGACCTGCACTTTATCTCAGACCAACATAATGTCCCCATTTTTACAGAATGTCTACATTTTCATTAAAGTTCTACAAACAGTAGACACATTTGTCTTAAAGATTTATGTTATTGTCCAGAAAGCATGATGGCTTCTTGAAAAATATTCACACTCAGAGGCAAATATACCCTTTTAGAAGCTAATTAACTATTCTGACTGAATTTTTCTTTTTAACAATGTCGCATTAAAAAACTTTTAGTAGCTCTACATTTTTAGGAGGTTTAAAATGACAAGAAAATGACAGTTCACCCCAAAGTAAAAATGATTGTCACCCTCATGTCTTCCAAGTCAAGTCACCTTTTGTAACACCCCTGTGGACTGTTTGTTGTGGTTTCTTCCCCTTGTGTTGGTTTATCCCGTATAATCATTAGTTAATCACCTCATTGTGTTCACCTGTCTGCCCCTCGTTATCTGCACTATATCTTTTCCTGTCTCTGGTATTTGAGTTGGTCGGTTATTGTGAATGTTACCCCGAGTGTGTGTGTCTCATCTACCCGAATCTGCCTTGTTGTCTCTACATTAAATATCCTTATTTGAATCCTTGTCATCCTCGTCATCCTGCCTGCCTCCACACACCTTGACCGTGACAGAATAACCGACCCTTTAAGTAAAGTATAGCGGCGTCTTCCCCCTCATTTGTTTTTTCCAGTTTTTGTCAGTTTTTATTTTGTTTTTCTATGGATTACCCCGCCTTCGAAATCCTCCTGCTGGAGCAGGGGGTACGCTCTCTTGAGGACCACACAAACGACTTTCTGTCCCTGGCCCACCTCACGCACTACCCGGACAACTGCCTCTGTACCTTCTATAGAGTTGGACTTAAGGCCACCACACCAGTGCAGTTGTCTGGGGATGGTCCTCGAGAGAGCCTCGCCACCTTCATCGAGTGGGTGCTGGTGTCCTGCGAGTCCCAGCTGACCGTGGACATCGCGGACAGCAACACCAGCCCCACTCAGGACCCTGATCCCAGCCCACCATCTCCCCGCGGTACGGAGCATAAACCTGAGCCCACCGATGACGGAGAGCCATGTCCCGCCGCGATCCCCGAGTCGGAGCGAAGCCCCGCGGCTGAGAGGAGGATCGCCTCGGATATGAAGCCCAACACGTCAGACCAGGTGCGAGAGCCGGTGACAGTGCCCACCACGAGGGAGCAAGCCGTGGACTGTGTGAGTGCGGAGAGGAGCTCCGCCCCCTGCATCATGGCTGAGGGTGAGCGGACTATGGAGGGAATTCAGGGCCAAAATGAGGAGGAGAGACCGCGGAATCCTCTGTTTAGCCCAGGAAAGCCTCCTGGAAGGGGAAGGGCTCCTGATCCCCAGTTTAGCCCAGTGAGGGCTTCTAATCCCCAGTTCCGCCCAGGAAGGGCTCCAGCCCAAGAGCTCTCTCCAGTGCCCGCTCCTCAAAAATACCATCTCGAATCCTCTGCTTTATCCTCCTCCTAGTCCCCCTCCGCCCCTCCCTCTGTTTCTACGGTGCGAGGACGCACCTTCCGGGAGGGGGTCGTAATCTAACACCCCTGTGGACTGTTTGTTGTGGTTTCTTCCCCTTGTGTTGGTTTAGCCCGTATAATCATTAGTTAATCACCTCATTGTGCTCACCTGTCTGCACCTCGTTATCTGCACTATATCTGTTCATGTCTCTGGTATTTGAGTTGGTCGGTTATTGTGAATGTTACCCCGAGTGTGTGTGTCTCATCTACCCGAATCTGCCTTGTTGTCTCTACATTAAATATCCTTATTTGAATCCTTGTCGTCCTCGTCATCCTGCCTACCTCCACACACCTTGACCGTGACACCTTTATATTTAAAGCACTTTATACAATAGAGATTGTATCAAAGCAGCAGTATTAAACAGGAAAGTAATCAATGATGCAAACTTGTGTGTATGCAAATCCAAATTCTGCTGTAAAGCAGCTCAAATAAGAGACTATAGTTTCATTATTCCAAACCTGTATGACGGAAGATATTTTAAAGATAGTTTGGTAACACTTCACTTAAAGCCATTATGCATAATGCATTATAAAAGTAGTTAAGTAGCATTACAGTATATATGTTTTGTAATGCTCCTTATAATGCACTGTACAATTTCATGAATAATTGTAACCACAGTTAATACATTATAACACTTATCAATTCATTGTTAGACTATGCATTTTAAATTAGGTTATAATTATTTACCACAATATATAATGTATTACAACAATTATAATACATTATATACTTTAATAATCCTTCATAATGCATTATACATAAAGGCTTTAAGTAAAGTGTTACCGACAGTTTTTGTCCATTATTGTTTTAAATGGCTGGAAGATAGTTCAGAATATCTTCTTTTATGTTCTACAGAAGAAAGAAAGTTGGGAATGAACAGAGAGTGAGCAAATAATGAAACAATTTTCATTTGAGCCATGACCCATATTCAATTAAACCTCACTTAATCACATGCAACCCAGATATCCTCGTATTTATGCCAAACACTCCAGAAACCCCAGCGTTTCTACACAATTACACTCTAGATTAGTGATAGCTAAAATCTGGTGCTGTTTTTTGTAGGTAAGGGCTTTTAAACTCACTCCTCATTGTCACTGTATTGATTAGAGCTACTGACTCTAATTGCCCCATTTATAGAATATAGATTGTCTTTTATGTTCACAGATGCCACCCACAAAAAATGAATGGATATATATATATGTTACTGTCCCATCTTTGCTGTTGTTAGATGGCAGAATGACAGCATGCCACACAGAAACTTCTATTTGTCACTGGCTGTAATTTATTGCACTGCAACACGGGTGTTAATACCAGCAACTGTCAAGGCTCTCCTATACAGAGGTCAATCAGGATTTCAGTATTTCACCTCATCAGCTCTCTCAGCAGTAAACATGTCTGCACAATTTATCTGGAGAGCTTTTCATCTCTCTTACTTGGAGATTGTGTCCAATTTATTTCATTTTCAAATATGCCTATAAATCTGGCATACAGAAACACACATACAGACACACAAATAAAGGCAGTGTATTTCATTTCCATAGACCATGTTAGGGGGAGATGCAGCTGTAGCTGTCAAATGTTGAGGTAACAACTGCATCTAAACTAGAGGTTAAAAGAAGGCTAGTCTCAAGTTTTATACGGACACCTTCACGTATAACCCGCAGTCTGTTTACACAAATATAGCAAATGCAAGCTTAAATAACCAGTTTGGATCTGATTGGCTGGTGCTGCCTGAGTTGGGTGTAAAGTAGAGTTTCGTAATTGGGTCTTGTTATTTTCATGAATGTGAATTTGAACTGAAGAGGCCACAAACCACAGAATATTTAATTGGAATATAAATGGAAATAATCAAAGGAGGAATTTAGTGAATTGTAATTCCAAGAAAGTCACCAGTCAAATAACGGAGGAATTAGTCCAACACAATGAGTTTTGTGCCAAAACATAATTACATCATTAGTTTTCAACTAATTACGGCTATTTATTCCCCGAGACATGTTTATCTACACCAAGTTCAGCACTGTCAAAAAATTAGCATATTCATTTTGAATTATATATTTATTTTCACTAAAATGCAGAATATATTTTTTCCATATTAGACATATTTCAAAACTGCCAAAACAGTTAATAGTTTTCACATAACTTGATAATAATAAAATGAAAATTATGTTTAATAATTATATTTGGTAACACTTAAACCCTTTATAATGCATTATAAAAGTAGTTTTAATGCAGTAATAATGCACCTTATAATGCATCGTGCAATCTCATGAATAATTGTAACCACAGTTATAATACATTATAACACTTATTTAATATTTACACCTTTAGAAAGTATAATGCATTAAAACTTACAACAAACCTGCAAATATTATAATACATTTGAACTTTGGTTACAGTTATTTATGAACAGACATAGTGCATTACAATGTACATTATGAATACCTTTATAATGCATTAAGTGTTACCTTATATTTAAATGTAATTAAAATAGACATCAGAATTTGAATCTTGATTTTTTTTTTTTTTTTTTGATGAAGAAGC